GCGACGGAGGAGAAGGACCAGGAGAAGGAGAGGGAGGAGAAAGGAGAAAACGAGGAGAAGGAGAAGGAGAAAGAGAAGGAGGAGAAGGAGAAGGAGAAGGAGGAGAAGGAGGAGGAGGAGAAGGAGAAGAAGAAGGAGGAGAAGGAGGAGAAGGAGAAGGAAAAGGAGGGGAAGGAGGAGGAGGAGAAGGAGAAGGAGAAGGAGGAGGAGGAGAAAGAATCGGAGACGACGCCCGCTGGCCACGTGCAGGCACCCGACAGGGATTGCGAGGGCGGACGCTGGTTGCATGGGGCGCGCCAGCGGCGGCGACGCGCCCGAGAGCCGTGGGGGACTGAGTGGTGGTACGCTCAGAGCAAAGGGCAGGTCTGGAGGTCGAAAAGGTGGTCTAGAGAGTTTCCTCTGCCAACCCCCTTCTTCCCCTTCGGGGAGGGGTTTCTCACTGCTCCCTATTAATAAACACCCCCTCCCCCGGGCGACTGGGGGCCAACCCGAGTCCATGCCGACACCCCCCCACCATCCCTTGTAAAAAAAACATGCAAACACACACTCTGCCTCCAAATTCGGAACACGCGCAGCCAACCCGATGCGCCCCCCCCACACCATCCCTGTCAAAAAACAATACAGAGTACACTTGGCGGCGGCGGCGGCGGCGGCTGCGGCGGCGGCGGCGGCTGCGGCGGCTGCGGCGGCGGCGGCGGCGGCGGCGGGGGCGGTGGCGACGGCGGCGGCAGGCGGCGGCGGCGGCGGCGGCGCGGCAGCGGCAGCGGCTGCGGCGGCGGTTTGGCAGCGGGGGGCGGCGGCGACGGCGGCGGCGGCGGGCGGCGGGCGGCAGGCGGCGGCGGCGGAGGGCGGCGGCGGCGGCGGCGGCGGCGGCGCGGCGGGGGCGGCGGCGGCGGGCAGCGCGGCGGCGGCGGGCAGCGGCGGCGGCGGTGGCGGCGGCGGTGGCGGCGGCGGCGGCGGCCGGCGACGGCGGCGGATTGGCCCCCAGTGGCTGCCCATCCAAAAAAGACTGCTGAATATGCTGAGGCTCGGGCCAGACTCGGGTGCTACGTATGTGTTGGGAGGGCGAGTGGGAGTGAGCGAGACGGCTTGCCGGCGGGGAGGGGGTCTTGACTGACCCCTCCCCCTACCCCCTACCCCTCCCCCTCCCCTTACTCCCTCCCCTCCCCCTACATCTCCCCTTCGGGGAGGTCGAAAAGGAGTGTGGCATATAGAGGGGTGCGGTGCCAATCGTGGACATCGAGATGCTATCCACGATGGCTGGCATCGCCAGAGCCTCAGCATTGGCACCATACCCCTTTACGCCACACCCCTTCTCCTACCTCCAGAACAGAGGAGCAGACTGCAAGAACATGAGCCCCTCCACCGGCAGAATGACCCAAACACATCAAGGCAGCAGAAGCCCCTCTAGACGAGCCGCCCGCCCTGAACTCCTACCCGGACCGCCGAGGAAGCCGTGTTTTGAATACGGGAAGGCATGGCATCTGGACCCACCAGCCTTGCCCGAACGAACGAGCGAAGCTGCCAAACGGAAGAGCATCCGAGGGCATCCTTCCACAGGCTGTACAAGAACGCACCAACAAAAACGAAAGAGCACGCGGCACCTCCCCCCTACTCGAGCACATTCTGACGCCACGCTCCGACCTCGGGGATGGAGAGACCTCCCTTTAGTAAAACGTGGTTTAGTGAAAACGACCTCAGGCCCAAACCTGGCGGGCGCATGCCTGAAAAATAACGGCCACGGCGCCATCTCGAGAACCGAAAACGGACAATTCACTAATCGACGTGTCACTGTTGGGCGTTCTGTCCACCCCATACGACCGTCCTCTGAGGGATGGCAGCGGGGGGCACGAGTCCACGGCAGGCGCAGAGGCGAGAACGACCTTCGGGGCGGCCAGAGACGCACGACCGATGGCGGTCCAGGCTCTCCGGCACATCAGCATGAAAGCGTCAAACACACACACCATGGCTTTCAAGGGGCTGGCACACGATTCAAAGAAATGCGGTGCGTGTGTTCAGCGGCTTCCTGTGCCGATATCCATGAAGCGTGTTAAAGCAAAACGTCCAACCCAGCCACACAACGGAATTCTCTGGTGATTCACAGAACTGTGAGAAAAGCACTGCTCTTAGAAACTGGTTCCGAGGGTAGACCTACAAATTGGCTCAAACCTTTACTGTGCCCGTGCCCACAGAGGCGTTTCTGAACACCTCGTCTAAGTCGCGAACTGTGGCAATCCGTTCGGTGACAACCCCTTGCGCTTGCACATGCCGTCGGAGATCCGGGCTTACGCCCCCCCCTACCGGTGACAGCCCCTTGCGTGCGCTTGCACACCAGTCACAATTTCACGCGGCAACCTGCACGTCTGTGTAGCAGGAAAATCAGTAGGTTCAGGAGGAGGGGGGGGAGGAGGAAATGACGGAGGAGGAGCAGGAGGAGGAGGACAAAAACAGTTGCCCCGAATGCACCAACGATGCTGCCGCGCGCCCTCCCGTAACAGAAGATCCGAGCAGGCGTGATCATGCAATTCATCACAGTGTCCAGCGGGATCGCCGCTTTGAAAAGGAATCGCCCTCCACCCTCGAAACTGTTACAAACTGTCAATCCAAAGTTGCGCGGCGCTGAGGCGAGATCCCTCTTTGACAACGACCACCCCCAATCTCGAAACTGCTGCAAGCTGCTGAGACGAATGTGCGCGGCGCTAACGCGAGAGCCCCGTGTTGAAAATGACCCGCCTTCCACCCGTGAACTGCTGCAAGCTTTAAACCAAGTGTGCACGGCGCTAGGGCGAAAGCCCCATTTGCAAACGACCTCCCCCTCCATCGTTGACTATGCTACAGGCTTCAAGCTTCAGGATCATCAATGGTGGGGACGCCTCGGATCGAAACGCCGGGCACGCCCTGCCGACGTCTGGAGGTGCGACAGGCAGGAGCCCATGACACGAGGCGTCCCGCAGCGCCGCGCAGCAGCCCGCTCATGGGGAGACGGTACGCCCTGACCAAAACTCCCCAGGCGAATCGGACCGTGGCGGCAAGGGCCTCCCAGGTGGCCCAGGAAGGCGAGCACGAGGCAAGGGCAACGGCGTCGGAACCTTCTCCGAGCATCGCTCGACCGATCCCCATCCCCACGGGCGTGGCCTGGGCCCCACTGGCCGACTGGCACCCCCTAGATGATGGAGACACAGGCTGTCCCCTTCGGGTCTCGAGGGGTGTACCCCCAACTGGGGTGATGAGATGCGGGGGCTCGGGATGGGGATGGGGATGGGGATCGGTTAAGCGACACCGACCCTCCTCCCCTGAGCTGCACCCCAGGATTAGGTCGGGCTTGTCCCCCTACTGGCGAAGTTTGGACGAAAAAATCAAATAATTCAAACGGAAGTCCCCACATGTTTTTTTTATTGGGGCACGGACTTACAGGGAGAGCGCAGGAGGCGTAGGAAGATGGCGGGATGTGTATCGCGATACCCTGCTCGCTCTGGAGGCACTTCCCTGGAGGGGTTGGAGGGGCAGGAAACCTGATAAATATAAGAAATCAAGAGAGTTCGAAACCGGTCAAAATCTGCGGCAGTGCCGGTCGAGGAACAGGAGGAGGAGGAGAAGGAGGAGGAGGCAACGTAGAAGAATGGGGAGGAGGAGGGAAGAGGCGGAGGAGAAAGTGCAGAGTGAGGTAAGGTGAATAGGGAGAAATGGATGATGGCGAGGAGGAGCAGGAGGAAGAAGGACTAGCAATCGGAGAGTGAGGACGTTGAGGGGGGAGGCAGGAAGTGAAGAGGAAGGACAAGGGAACAATGGAAGGGGTCAGGGAGGAGCAGGAGGTAAAAGAGAAAAGGCAATGGGTGGGAAGGCGGGGGAGGAAGTAAGGCAAGGAGGGTGGGGGGGGTAGCCTCCTCGCTCTGTCGGGGCCTCCCTGGAGGGGCGGGAAGGGGCGCGAAACCTTGAGACAGTATGGGTTTCGCATACCCTCCTCGCTCAGGCGGGGCCTCCCTGGAGGAGTGGGAGGGACAAGAAACCTGATACATAGCATGGCTTGCGAATATCCTCCTCGCTCAGGCGGGGCCTCCCTAGAGTGGGAAGGGCACGAAACCTGATAAACAACATGGTTTTCGAATACCCTCCTCACTCAGGCGGGCCTCCCTGGCGGAGTGGGAGGGGCACGACATTCAATACATGACATTGTTTTCGAATACCCTCCTCGCTCAGGCGGGGCCTCCCTGGAGGAGTGTGAGAGACAAGAAACCTGTGAATAGCAAGGTGTTCGAATACGCTCCTCGCTCAGGCGAGGCCTCCCTGGAGGGGTAGAAGGGACACGAAACCTAATAAATAACATGGTGTTCGAATACCCTCCTCGCTCAGGCGGGCCTCCCTGGAGAAGTGGGAGGAGCACTAAACCTGATAAATAGCATTGTTTTCGAATAACCTCCTCGCTCAGGCGGGGCCTCCCTGGAGGGGTGGGGGGGGGGCACGAAACTTTGCAAACGGTTGTCCCGATACCATCCTCGCTCCGGCGTGGCACTCCTAGAGTGGCAGCTATGGTATGGTAGCGTTGGTGTTGCAGGTGTGGTGTGGTATGGTCGGTGGAGTGGTGTGGTTGGCAGGAGGTGGAGGAGGAGGAGGAGGAGGAGAGGGGAGGAGGAGGAGGAGGAGGGGAGGATGAGGAGGAGTTGAGGAGGAAGGAGGAGGGGGAGATGAGGAGGAGGAGGAGGAGGAGGGGGGAGAGGAGGAGGAGGAGGAGAGGAGGAGGGAGGAGGAGGGAGGAAGAGGAGAAGAGGAGGAGGAGGAGGAGAAGGAGGAGGAGGGGAGGAGGAGGAGGTGGAGGAGGGGGAGGAGGAGGGGGAGAGGAGGAGGAGAGGAGGAGGAGGAGGAGGGAGGGACGGGGAGGGGGAGGATGGTATGGTATGGTGGTATGCTATTGGTACCCGCCTTCACCCCAAAAAGGCATCCCGCAGCGCTGCGCGGCGGCCCGCTCACGTCCTCCCGAGGGGGGGCCGGCGCCCCAGGAGGGCCTCGCGGGCGGCGCGTGCAAGGTCTCGGTGAGGTTCCCGGCGGGGCCCTGCGGCGGCGGGTGCCCGCCCCGCGCGCGCCGCCCGCGGAGGGAGGCAGCTCCTGGGCAGGCAGGCTCCCGGAGGGCACAGCCTCCAGGCTGCGCCTCCGGAGGCAAGTCCTGGAAAGCCTTAGCTCGAGGGCACGCTCGAGGGGCTCTACCTCAGGCACGACGAAGCCGGGACACCGATGCGCCTCTGGAGGCAAGTCCTGGAAGGCCTTCGTTCGAGGGCACGCTCGAGGGCTCGACCTCAGGCACGACGGCGCCGGGGACAGAGCCGGAGTCGGACCAGGACAAGTCGGGGATCTGCGAGGCCCCGCGCTTCTGGAGGATGGACCGGGCACCGTGGCCTTCTCATGGCGTTCCAGAGCGCTTCGAGAGCGTTCCAGAACGCTTTGGAATGATTCATCCCTGTCCTAGCTCCGCCCGTTCAAACCCGATTCGGGAAACCTTCACAGGACTCAGCCAGACAAGGCCACACTGAGCTGGGCTCGGCGACATCAGGCCAGATTGGAACGGTTTCCAACCAAAGACGCACCTGCGGCGATGCTAGATCAACCTCGGCTTGCAACCAAGCCTCCCCGTCTAAATTTCGGCCCTCGTCCGAGGCAGCGACCAACAAAAATGGAAGATTGTTTCTGCATTTTGTTGGCCTGCAGGGGGGCCTTACATGGCCTCGGGACTCCATGAACGACTGGGATTTACGTTGTGAGAAAAATCACGGTGTCTGAGGTTTGGGCCCATTCCCCTTCTTACAACTGGCACGTCCCGTAAGGACTGGCGGAGCTTAACAGAAACCTATTTTTCCTCCTCCTCCCCCTCCTCTTCCTGCCACCTCATGCTCGCCATCTTATATGCGCCGAGTCCGGCGCGCACTGGCCTCGGCATATTCGTAACCTTTCTCCTCATCTCCATGACCCCCTATGGCATTCCCTCCGTACCATCCCCCCGAACCCGTCCCCCCTTCCTTTTCCTCCGCCCGCCCCCTTCCCCCATTGTCCTTATCCTTATCCTCCTCGTCATCCTCCTCCCCTCCTCATCAGATCTATATTCCCCCCAGCGCCTCCCCCATCCTTTGTTGTCCGTCCTGTTATGTTCCCCACTCTTTGCTTCGCCAGTCCGCGCCGACGTCATTTAATTTAATCCACACACATACACACCGCATCCACCGACCAGGTCCTCGTCATCTTTCTCGTTTTCACCATGCCCCCCTGTCCTCGACATTCGTCACGTTTTCGTCGTCGCCCTCGTCGCCCTCCCCACTATTCGCAAAAATGCGCACGCCCACCCCCCCCCGCGTCCTTTCCTTTTCTTCTGCTACGCCCACGCACACGGACATATACACACACACACAAGAACACACACACACACACACACACACGCACGCACGCACGCACGCACGCACGCACGCACGCACGCACACACACACACACACACACACACACACACACACACACACACACACACACACACACACACGCGCGCACACACACAAACACACACACACACACACGCGCGCACGCGCACGCGCACGCGCACGCGCACGCGCACGCGCACTCGCACGCGCACGCGCAAGCGCACGCGCACGCGCACGCGCACGCGCACATACGCACGCGCGAGCACGCACGCACGCACGCACGCACGCACGCACGCACGCACGCACGCACGCACGCACACACACACACACACACACAAACCAGCACCGCAAGTGCCACAAGGGGAGACCCCGTGGGCATCGTTCCTGGATGGACTGGCGGGGCTACGCAGTGCGAATAGAAATTTTTGGACCGATTGAGGTTCCACGCCCTCCTCCTCCTTCTCCTCCTCTCCCTCCTCACCCCCCCCTCTCCTCAGACATGTCCAAATTATCAGGCGCGAAGCCCGTCGACCTTGGAGCATGCTGAGCACGATGCAAAACTGACTCAACGTAATGCAGCCAACACGTCGCGACGCCTCCAAAACAGCGACACACTAGACGACAAGAGCTGGCCGGCCACATGCCAAGCTGGCGATGTTCCACCATTCGCGTCGGGCGAAAGGGGGAGCTAGCAAAGGAGGGGGGTGAGAATCAGCTCACGTAGCTGATTTTCCCGGCGCCTCCCGGCGCCGGAGGCGGCTATGTATCGAGGAATGGGCCCCTCGGCGGGGCCGAAACCAGCTGCATGCAGCAAATTTCGTACCCCCCCCTTTCCCAATCCCCCCCTTTCGCCCGGCCCGAACCATGGTTGTTCCGCGTTTGTGTCGCAGCCTCGCCACAATGAGCCGCGTGGACAAACGTGGGGGCGCTGCGACATGACATCGGGCAACTTGCAGGTATCGCGCACTGTGTCACTGCGCAGCAGTAAGCTGGCGCCAAGAGATGGCACAAGCACATCGCCGTGACGCGCTGGCCCCCGTCAGTCGAAAGCGCCTTCTACACGGGCAGGGCAATCGCGAAAACTCGCGCGCGCATTTGCAAACGACAGCCCGCGCGCGGTCAGCGCCGACGGGCAATCCGAGCCAGAGTGGGCAGCGCGGCCGATCGCGAGGAAGATCTCCTCGATAAAATCAGCAGCGCGAGCGCGCGCTTTCAAACGTTGCCAGTTCATGGGTGGGTAAGCCCGAAACAGCTCTAAAACCCACGCGGAACGACTACTCCAACTCCCCAAGCGATATCGGGACGCGCAGGCCGGGCGTTGCCCGCGGACGCTGACTGGCACGACAACGGCTGGGGCGGGTCCAGGGGCGCCCGCGCGGACCGGCATTCGCGCGGGCACGCCAGCCCAGGCCGCCATCGCACTGCAGCCGTTTTAACTGAATGGCTCTGGAGTGGTCGCGGGCCCGCTGACTCTCTGACGAGCACGTCCTATCCCGCCTCGCCCCCATGGACCATCCGCGGCCCCATGGTCGCCACCTGCCTCGCGATGGCCGCTCGCGGCACGCGGGCCCCGGGATGACTTTGGAGGCGCCTTCCACTGGGGCGCCCAGTGACAAACGCGCGCAAGCCGGCAGAATCCGCGCACTTGCACGGGCACCCCTCCGCGCGGGAGAAAAACCTCGAGGGCTCTACACTTGCCACTGCGCAATGCGGGGGTCCACCAATTACCCCCCCCCCACCCCATCCTCTGGCAACGACGCGCACTCCCGGCCAGTAACCGCGAGGGCGCCCGGTCTAGGCTGGGCCCCGCGGACGCGCGCCCCACCGCGCAGTTCATCAAGCGACTCAAACCCAATGATTTCACGACCTGATGGCACCGCTCGCACTGCCCCATCACAGGGGACTTCTAGAACGCAGCAGCCATGCGACACGAACGCGCGCCCCTAAATGAATCGGCCCACCTGGGTGAAATCGCAACTGCGCGCGCGGCCATTCGCCGGGGGTCGCGCGCCCGCGAAGCCACGCCCCACCATTGCACCAATCACCCAGACCGCACTCTTCCAAACTGGAATGCCACCCCAGGGCCCGCGACACCTCGCCCATTGAGCCCGGTGCGCCGTCATGTGTATACTCCCCCCCCATCCTGGTAATCACCGTCCTCATGTTATCCTTCCACCCTCCTCCCTCATTTCTCCCTCGCCAGGCAAGCCTTCAGCAGCATCTGCAGCGCCGGCCGCATCTGCTCGGGCGGCATGGCGGAAACCAGGCTCGCCACGGCCTGTCTGGGAAAGGAAGAGGGAGGAGGGAGGAAGAGGAGAGAAGGAGGGAGGAGAAGGAGTGAGAGTGGGGGAGCACAAAGCTACATAAAAGTAGGCCGCTGGAGGTCTGCGCTGAGTTCTTGGATCGGCGCTGGACCCTCCTCAGGCGACGGCTCTGGCGCCGCCCCGGCGCGCCCCGCGCGGGAGAGGGGTCCAACGCCGGTTCAAGAATCCGCGCGGACATCTGAAGTTGATGCTTTTTACATTGTGCTTTTCGAGAGAGGGCTTACGCTGACACCTTGACAGGAGAAGGAATGGAAGGAGAGGCAGAAGGAACAAGGAAAGGAGGAAGAGGAGGCTCTCTGCCCATAATTACAGTGGGGGATGAGGGGGCGGTCAGGAATGAAAAGGGGCGATGGAGTGGAAAAACGAATGGAGGGGGAGGAGGAGGAGGAGGAGGAGGAGGAGGAGGAGGAGGAGGAGGAGGAGGAGGAGGAGGAGGAGCAGATGCCGACGGCGACAGTCACCAGACAAATCCAGTATCAGCTTCAAGCGCCAAGAATGAGCAGCAGCAGGAGGATTAGCAGGAGGACACCGACGACGACAAGGGCAAGTAACAAAACGACACAAACAAGATGAGACTGGTCGCTCTTCTTTGCCCACATGCCACTCAGCATGCATACCCGAAACACTCGACTCCAGTCCTTTTCGGCTACGAAAGTATTTCTCTGCCGCCTCCTGGTTAAACACCGATCGGGACGATCTGGGTACGGAAAGATGGGTTACGACGCCCAACAGCAATTCTCGTTCGTATTGAACGGGACTCGCTGTCCGCGCCGCCGCGGACGTTACTCATTGAAGACAAGATGCCGCCCGCCCAACAGCGGCCGCTGTTTGTTTTGGACAGCATTTACTGTCGGGCATTGTATCCATTTTCTCCGTACAGGGCAGTTTTTAATACATAGGATGTTTTAAAACTATAGGATTTGTCATACATGATCAATATATGAATAAATGTGTGCATGAACTCATCGTCGTTTTTTTATGCTGAATCCCTGCATTTTTAATACATGATCCGCACTCGGAGCATGTGTTTAAAACGGCACTGTACCCTTGCCATCGCTCGGACGCCCGTTCCCCGCGCATCTTTTTCGGCCTCGTGCGTGCCCTCTCTTCTGTGCTCGATGACCCCGGATGCTCCCCGATGGTCCTCGATGCGATTTTTTCCCCCTGCCTGATAACGGTCGTTGCCCGGGGGGGGGCGGGAGGGTATCGGTAACGGCGGCCGCGGTGTGCACCCGGCGAGCATGTGTGTAAAAACGGCACTGTGCCCATTTCGGGCGTCCAGAACCGATACGGCAAGACCAGCGAGCCGGGCGGGCGGGCCCCGACGGGCGCGGGACCCGCGGGCGGAGCACCGGAGCGTGCGGGCGGGGCTCTGCAGGCCAGGGAGCGCGCGGAGGCCAAGGGGCGAGCCGGCCAGCACGCCACCAGAATATAAGGTCGGACGTGCCCCCCCCCACAGGCGGATTTTGGACGACCAATAAACGATACCCACAACATACCCCAGAACAGTTCAAAAAATGATAGGAGAATCCTCCCCAGACTAGTTTGGGACCACTTTTTGACAAGAGGCACGCGTGCCAAGGATCACACAATCACGGATGTGGGACACTGGGAGATGGAGGTGGCGCCAAGCTGTGGCAGTTTCGGGGAAGCGCGCGAGTGCTGCGACGCGCTGAGCTGTGGCGTTAGGAACTTGTTGTCACTGTGAGCTAATGGCGTCTCTGTGACTCTTCGGGGCCATGGTGCTATTGGGCGCCTCTGAGGGGTCACTGGGGGCCTTGTGTGGGCCTGTCTGGGCCTCTTCTGGGTTGTCTTGGGGGTGATCTCGAGCCGTCCTGAGGCCTTTCTGGCCCATCGTGGGACTTCGGGGGGGGGGCCAGGGGCACGGCCGGAGCGGGGAGGGCCCGGTCGGTAGGTCGGAATAAGCAGGCGGGGGGGGCCACGGGGCGGAGGAGGCGAGGCACGGGGGTGGCCGGGGAGAGGGGAGGGGGGGGCACGGTCGGCCGGCGGGGGCCACGGGGCGGAGGGGGGAGGCACGGTCGGTCGGTCGGCCGGAATGAGCAGACGGGGGCCACGGGGCGGAGGGGCGCGGGGGGGAGCAGGGGGGCGGGCAGGCACGGTCGGGCAGGGGAGGGCACGGTCGGTGGATCGGTCGGAGAAAGCAAACGGGTGCCACGGGGCGGAGGGGTGCGGGGCACGGTCGGTCGGCCTGTCGGAATAGGCAGCCGGGGGGCCACGGGGCGGAGAGGGGGGGGGGGGGGGGGGCACAGTCGGTCGGGGGGGAGCAGGGGGCGGGAGGGCACGGTCGGGCAGGAGGGGGGAGACACGGTCGGTGGGTCGGTTGGAATCAGCAGACGGTGGCCACGGGGCGGAGGGGTGCGGGGGGCAGACAGAGCACACGGGGGCGGCGCGCACCCAGGCCTCACCCTAGCATGTATCCCAGGCAGCACACAGCCCTGCACACATCCCAGCACACGAAAGCAGCAAACGTCACAGCACACATCCCAGCACACATACCAGTCCAACGCACATCCCAGGCACGGTCAGTCGGGCGGTCGAAATAATGCAGCACAAGATCACACCGGTAGGACTGACAATAAGGCACAAGGGCGCGAGGGGGGAGGGAAAGGAGAAGGGAAAGGGGCGGAGGACAAGGAGAGGAGGGGGGCACGGTCGGTCGGAATAAGCCAGGGGGGTCACAGGACAGGGAACTGGGAGGGGGCACGGTCGGTCGGAATAAGCCGGGGGGGGGGCACGGGACGGGCAGAGGGGAGGGACACGATATGTTGGAATAAGCGGGGGGTGGCACGGAGGACAGGGGGGCGGGAGCACGGACGGTCGGAATAAGCAAGTTGGGGGTTCGTGATGGGGAGGGCAAAAAGGCCACGGGACGGGGACAGAGCGCGGGACAGGGAGAGGGGAGGGGACACGGCCAGTCGGAATAAGCCAGGGGAGGCAAGGGGGGGAGGGGAAATGGGGAGGAAAGGGGTGGCGGAGGACAGGGAGACGAGGGGGCACGCTCGGTCGGAATAAGCCAGGGCGGGGCACCGGACAGGGAGAGGGGAGGGGAGCACGGCCGGTCGGAATAAACCAGAGGGGGGCACAGAGGACGAGGTGGCGACGGGACGGAGAGAGGGCACTGGACAGGGAGAGGGGAGGGGGCACGGCCGGTCGGAATCAGGAAAAGGAGGGCGAGGGGGGAGAGAAATGGTGATGGGAGGAGGGGTGGAAGCCAGGGAGAGGAGGGGGGCACGGTCGGTCGGAATAAGATGGGGGGAGGCACGGGACATGCACAAAAAGAAGGGGCACGGCCGGTCGGAAAAAAGCCAGGAGGGGGGGCACGGAGGACGGGGGGGCGGGGGCACGGT